GATGTCCTGTCTCGGCCGCCTGGGTCATTCCCTGTCCCCTGGATGTCCTGTCTCAGCTGCCTGGGCCATTCCCTGTTCCCTGAATGTCCTGTCTCGGCTGCCTGGGTCATGCCTTGTTCCCTGGATGTCCTGTCTTGGCCGCCTGGGTCATTCCCTGCCCCCTGGATGTCCTGTCTCGGCCGCCTGGGTCATTCCCTGCTCCCTGGATGTACTGTCTCAGCTGCCCGGGCCTCTTGTCTCCTGATTCAGAGCCTTTCTTGGATCCTACACTTTTCTGCTTTTTAGTTTTACTCTCTTGTTTTGGTGGAATATGTTCTCCAGCATCTTTCTGAGAAAGGGTGTGTGTGTGTGTGTGGTAACATTTCTAAGACCTTCAATATATGAGTACAGCTTTATTCTGCATTCCAGTGGAACCAACTGCAGTTCATAGACCAAATCTGTTTTCATTTATTTTGTGAACTGAAACGGAAGCACTTTTTTTATATTTGAAAACTTGTTTATTGAAAAGTTTTTTCAGGTACATAATTTTATTTTGTCCTGCATTTTAAATTTTTATTATTTTTTAACAAGTTTAATGTGATTTATAGGAATAATTCTAAGATAATGAGATCCCCACTTCCCTCCCCTTCTTCCTCCCACCCTTTCCTTATCCCTTTCTCCTGCCTTAGTTTTGGAAATAACATATTTTAAGTTTATATTTTAGTAAAAAGGCCTCATCCTTCAGTGATTAATAGGTTTAACAAGTCAAGAGCAGGAAGATCTTAGTTTGTGGGAGCGCGAACAATATCTATGAACAATAATTGAATAGAAAAATGGCCATTTCACTCATGTACAATAAATTTTAGAATAGTCACCACTCATTAAACGACAGCAGTATACATTCTTAACCACTGACTTAACCAAGGAATAAGGCAAATCTTTACAAAGCCTGTCTGCACCAATGCTGACACACACACATGTTTTCTAAACGCTAACTCCCGCGTGCCAGAGGGGCAGGTGCCGATTGTCTTTATGGATTCGGGTTAGTCCTCACAACATGATCCTCTCAGTTGAGTCCGTTTTCCTGTGGATGGTAGGAACTCGTTCTTTTGTAGCTGAATAGTATTCCATGTGTGTCTATGCTGCCTTCCCTCGAACCATCCATCCAATGCTGAAGATCCTCTCCTCCCACATCCGAGCTGGGAAGCAGAATACCGATCCTCCATGCCTCAGGCATTCGGCCTCTTAGGTTTGGTCCACTAGGCACACTAGGCCCTCCAAGGCTGACCATGTTGTGACGTAGACAGAAGGCCCTCCCAAGGCTGACCCAGCCAGCCTTGGACTTCCAGTCCCCCAAGCTGCAGGAGGGATCTGGGGTATTCTGTGATAGCTATGCAGAATGGACTAAAACAATGACACTTCAACCACGACAGTGCAAAGTGATGAAACGACTTTGGAGTATTGAAGAGAAACAGTGGCAGCCAATTATTTCACACCTGGTGACAATTTCTTTCCAGACTGGAGGATCAAGAATGAGGTCAGTAACTTGAGGGACTCACACAAGGTGAGGCCTTTTCAAAGGAGAGCGATGGAAGGTGGAAGGTCGGATATGCAAGAAATAAAGCACAAAGAAAGTGCAGTCCTCGGGTAAATCTGAAAAGCGCTTTACAATCAAGCGTCTGGGGAAGAGAGCGCCAGCCCGCGGGAGCAGTGGGTACAGTGGAGTTCTCAGTTCCTGCTATGACTGAAGGAAAGCTAATACCTTGATTTACTTTGGATAAAAGACTGCACATATAAGTTACAGTCTAAGGGAAAAAGACGATAAATGGAAATTATCCAGAGAGAGAGCCAAAGAAATAGAATACACATGACAAAAATAAAGTCAAACGCACGGCCATCCACCGCGCACCAGCGGCTCCGGGCTCTGGTGCATAGCCAGTAACCGCCAGGCTGGAGCCAAGGCTCCTCCCCAATGCAGCTAGAGGTTATTCATAGCAGTCTTGCCTACTTTGCAAGTGCATAAAGCTTAAAAATAAAAAAGTTTTAAAAATGCCATATGTATTCTAACCAAAATAAAGCTGTTGAAACTGTGTCATCTGACCTTAAGCGAAAGAAAGAAAAAAATTACCCAAGATACAGGCTTGTTTCACAGAAAGTCACGTAAAAATTACAAATGTTTACACCCTTATGTTCATATCCTTGAAAGAACTAAAAGGGAGATTTTTAACATAGCCGTCAGGAAGCAGGCGTCACAACGTGAGCAGAGCAGATCCCTACTGGATGGAGAGAAGCTTGGGCCAGGAAGCAGGGGACACACAGGGACCATTCCCCCAAACTGACCACATACCAGGACATAATGCAGCATCAACACATTCCAACTGATTGTATCAGCTTCCAAAAAGTGCTACAGATCTGGTTGATAAGTAAGAAAAACGCACTGGCCCAGCTCTGCCACTAACAATCATTTGGGGAATGCCAGCAGGTAGAAGAGTCCCTCTGTGTGATCCAGACTTTCGAGTAAAATAAGTAAATCTTAAAAAACAAAACAAAAGACTATGAAACATGCAAGGGGCACAAAGATGTTCTGAGGGGAAACTCCAATCAGTAAATTACTATTAGTTGGGAAGGCAGAGATAGATACGGGGAGTTCTCCCATTCCCTAGTTCATCCCAGCATGCCTCTCCCACAAGCTGGGGACTCAGAGCAGATCTCCCATGTGGCTGGCAGAGACACACCACTGAAGCCATCCTTTACTGCCTCCCACACATACACTGGCTGAAAGCTAGAGTCAGGAGCAGGAACTGGACAGCAAATCCAGCCAGCAGGGCCTGGCGTGGTGGCCCAAGCAGCTAAACCTTCGTCTCGCTTGCACCAGGATCCTGTATGAGCTCACGTCCAGCAGCCCTGTTTCCCATCCAGCTCCCTGCTGGTGGCTTGGGAAAGCAGTGGAGGACAGCCCAAAGCCTCGCACCCGCGAGGGAGACCCAGAAAGTGCTCTGGGCTCCTGATCGGCTTGGCTCTTGACATTGCAGCCACTTGGGGAGTAAAGCAGCAGACAGAAAATCTTTCTCTTTGACTCTCCTTCCCTCTGTAAATCTGCCTTTCCAATAAAAATAAGTAAACCTTTAAAAAAAAATAGCCAACAGTATGGGGAAGAGGTGTCCCATCCTAACTGCTAAGCCAGATACCCACCGCTTACAGGAACACTTTATAGCCTGAACTCTGTATCTTAGGGAATAAGACAAAATGCAAATTAATTAGCTGAGCAGACATCGGCAAGAACAACACAACAGTATCAAGAGAGCAGAACAGAACTAATAAAAGTACGACAGGAATTGGTGAGAGAGAAGACAAACATTCAGTTGGAAAAAATCAATATGTCAAAAGTTGTTTTCTTGGAAAGACTAATAAAGTTACAACCCTCAGCGATATTGTGTGAAGAACAATGAGACTCCACCAGCCTCCACCATGGACAGGGCACCTGCAGATGGCATGGAGGAGACCAGCATGGGCTATGGACAGGGCACCTGCAGATGGCATGGAGGAGACCAGCGTGGGCCATGGACAGGGCACCTGCAGATGGCATGGAGGAGACCAGCGTGGGCCATGGACAGGGCACCTGCAGATGGCATGGAGGAGACCAGCATGGGCCATGGACAGGGCACCTGCAGATGGCATGGAGGAGACCAGCATGGGCCGTGGACAGGGCACCTGCAGATGGCATGGAGGAGACCAGCGTGGGTCGTGGACAGGGCGCCCTGCAGATGGCATGGAGGAGACTATCTCCTGAAGCTCCTTGGGCCAATGACATTACAAGGTAGACATCATGGACAATTTTAAAAAACCTTGAAAGATATAAGTTGCCAAAAACTTGTACTGAAGAAATGATTTCTGATCACTATGGATTAAATCAGGTTTAAACTTCTGTACTCATCAAGTCCCAGTGCTGAGCTCTAGCAAGCACTTGCTGCTGTCGTTACACTCAAGCCCTCTTACGCTTAGAAAACAAGTGATCCCCAGTATTTGTTGATGAGCCTAGAATAACCTTGATACCAAAACCTGATTAAGGCAGAAAAGGAAAGGCAGGTTACTGACCTGTCTTTAAACACACACACAATGAGCCCATCAACACATAGGGATGGGAAAGATCACTTGTCCAGACCAAGTTGGTTGATCTCAAGAATGCCAAGTTAGCAAACAATCAGAAAATGAGTTGATGCGATTCAGCCTGCTAACTCAAGGCAGAGAATCACTCAACGATTCTGAGTTGCAAAAAAAGACCTTTGATGAAATCCAGCATTGGTCCATCAGGAATCTCTTAAATTGGGAGGAGCAGGGGTGCTCCCTAAAGTGACTCAGCGACTCATCCATCAGCCTCGGGGACTTGGCACTGGCCAGGGCATTCTTACCCGAAGGTCCACAGGGTGCAGGCCCAGCAGCACAGGCTCATCTGTTCCAAAGACTGCCCACCTTTGCCCATTCACTCAGCCACATGCTCCCCAAAACACTGGCAGCCCATCGCCCATCGGACCTGGCAGTGCCAAATCCCATCCCTTCAGCTGTCAGCCATGGTGGTAGCTGGTATCCCACCTGTCATCAGATGGCATGGTGTCTCTCTTACCTCCCACTTGGGGGGAATCACACCTCAGCACACCCTGTCATTCCCTGCCCACGCTGCCATGTGGGTGCCTGACCCAAGCGTCCCTTGGGCTTTGCGTCCCTTGTCCATGCTGCCATGTGGGTGCCTGGCCCAAGCATCCCTTGGGCTTTGCGTCCCCTGTCCATGCTGGCATGTGGGTGCCTGGTCCAAGCATCCCTTCGGGTTGTGTCACGGGCATCTGGAGGTCAGGCACATGGTGGCAGAAGCTGAAGCTGTAGCCGTGCCTTGCCTCAGAGCTGACCCTCCACTGGGAGCATGCCCAGGTCCAGGCCCTCTTGGGTCAAGGCTCAGGGCTTGGAGCACCTGCCTGAATGTCCACTGCCAGTTTGCACCTCTCTCACCTCTGTTCTCCCTTTCCTAGGAAGGTACCACGTGACCGCAGGGATCCTTTCGCCTGTCAATGACAAGTACGGGAAGAAAGACCTAGTGGCTGCCCATCACCGAGTGACCATGGCCCAGCTGGCCCTCCAGACATCCGACTGGATCCGGGTGGACCCCTGGGAGAGTGAGCAGGCACAATGGGTTGAGACGGTGAAGGTGCTGAGGTAATGACTGTCTGCTGGAGCTGGGTTGGCATCAGTGCAGCCTGCAGGGTAGGGCCTCCACTCCGCTTCTTAGCCGTGAACCGAGAATTAGACAGACCCCAACAGATCTACCTCCTCAGACAGGTCCCTGGGTGAGACTGTTACAAACAGCTGGCCCTCAGGGCTCTCAGAGAGCCAGCACTGCCAGCCTGAGTTCAAAAGCCAATGGGAATCCACCTGAGCAGGTTCCGCCTAGCGGGCTTCAGCTTCCCTGGGACGTGGTTCTCAGGTGCAGGATGAGGAACGGCAGCGTGTAGAGAACGCTCGTGGCCAGAGCCACACTGTTGTGATCAGGGTGTGGGCCCTTAGGCCCTTTTCACCTTTGACTGGGTGGAACACTGCCTCTGCGTGAGCAAGCCCTCCCTGCTACCTGTGCAGATCCTGGGTTCTGTCGAGTCAGCCTTCTGTGTAAGATGGAAGGAAGAGACTGTATGTCTAGAGATGGCTACTCTGCGAGTTCTTTATTTGGAAGTCAGAGAGAGTGAAAAACAGACAGGAACATCTTCCATCCACAGGTTCCCTTTCCAAGTGACTGCACTGGCTGAGGCCGGGCCAGGCTGACGTTGGACACTTGACTGGGTTCTCCCACGTGGGTGGCAGGGGCCATCTGCTGCTGCGGTTCCCAGGCTATTGGCAGACGGCCGGAGCACAGGCAGAGCAGCCAGGACACAAAGCAGTGCTGGTAAGGGAAGCTGGTGTCAGAGGCAGCAGCTCTCCCTGCAGCACTGTGGCCCCTGCCCCAGGAGACGGCTCCCCTCAAGTCATTGCCCGTAATGTTCTTCGTGAGCAGCCTGCAGGTTAGGACCTGGGCCCCCAGCTGATGGCAGGGAGATGCAGGAAGTCCCGTCTGTCCTTGTCCGAGAGGTGCAGGAATTGCAGGTGCCTCTGCCAGAGGAAGCTCCGTGTGGGTACAGTGGGAGGCACCAGGCACCAGTTCAAGGATTGGCTGGCCTGTTCCGTACGTGCCTCAGTCTCACATTTTTCTTGTCTTCCAAGTCACCTGGGAAGGACATGCTTCCGTTGTGAGTTCAGAATTGAAAGGGGAGTGCTTGGTTTCCATACCCTGATCCTCCTGGCTGCCTCTTGCAGGGGAGAGAACCATCCAAAAGCATTCACAGGACAACTTCCATCCACTGCTTGACTCCCCAGGCGTGACTACAGCTGGGGCTGGTCCAGCTCCAAGTCAGAAGCCCAGAAGTCCATCTGCGTCTCCCGGGTACTTGGGCCATCTTCTGCTGCCTTCCCAGGGGCGTTAGAGGAAAGCTGGACTGTGAAGTTCCTAGCGGGTTCTAGCATGTGGTCAGGCCAAGTCCCTTGGCTTGAGAAATGGGCGCAGGAAACAGGCTGGTATCAATGCTAAGACCCATCCAGAAAAGTGCACCTGCCTGCAGGAAACACCCACCCCACCCCCAGAGCTCTCACGTGAGCTCTAAGTGTGAGGATTTCAAAATCCTGAAGGGGTTGGCTTGTTGTTGTTGTTGTTCTGTTTGGGTTTTTGTGCAGGAAGGTGATGAATCACTGAGAACGGCAACACAGTTGTAGCCAAGAACTGAGGATTTTGTAGACAGACAGCCTGTCTAAACCGCGAGGCCAAGCGCTTCGGGGCCCAAGGCAATCCCCCCACTGGTTCCATTTAGAATCTTCCGGGTAGGGTTGACAATACATTAATATCGGAGTGAAAGGACCTGCCACGATAACCTAGTGGTTAAATGCTCGCCTTGCATGTACCAGGATCCCATATGGGTGCCAGTTCATATCCCGACTATTCTGCTTCCCATCCAGCTCCCTGCTTGTGTCCTTGGAAAGTAGTAGAGAATGGACAAGGCATTGGGAGCCCACACCCACATAGGAGACCCCGAGGAGGCTCCTGGCTTCAGATCAGTTTAGTACCAACCTTTGCGGCCACTTGGGGACTGAACCAGTAGAGGGAAGATCTTTCTCTCTGTGTCTCCTTCTCTCCATAAATCTGCCTTTTCAATACATAAAATACATTAAATATTTTTAAAACATATCAGAGTGGCACTGGTGGGACTTCCTGCGGATACTGTTTCCTTATCAAGTTGCTAATTTTTAAAACTCTAGACCAACTTTCGTGCCTTTAGGCACCTGCTGAGTGATTTCACTCACTCTTGCCCGTTGCAGGGGGAGGACTGCGATCTCCAGGCTGTTCTGTGCAGCCTGCCCTTCCATCTGCCGCCCCTCCCAGAACAGACGACACCAGAGAGGGCGTGCAGGGGTCGCCTGCGTTGGATTTAAAAAACAAAAATGTGATGATGCAGCTGTCATGATCTTCAGAACACGGATTGCTTTAGTGGCTGGGCTGGTCAGGTTGGCGTCATCTGGTCATATCTGAAATAAACGCTGGGTGCACCTCAGGAATGTTAACTCCTGTCGTCTTCAGAACTACCCACCGGAGGGGACAGCGGCACTGTTCTCCATCGCAGGTGTAGGGCATCCACACCGAGAAAAAATCACCCTGGACCACAGAGCCAGCCTGGACGGCCAGGCTTCAACCCAGGCCATCGGCTCCAGGACCTGTTAGCCAGCATCGGCTGTTAGCCAGCAGCCGGCACCTTTGCTGAGTGCTAGCATGGCTCATTTACCTTTGCACAGGTCCCACCTGTCAGGCCTCCTTACCCCTGCCTTCCAAAGGAACGTGTTCTGAACTCAGCACCGCGTGATTCTTGATCACGATCCCCTGTTAGTGAGAAGCCATGGCGGAGAGTGATGTGGGTAGAAACAGGCTGACTTCCCGCTCTTGCCCAGGCCAGACCCTCTCGGTGAGGCCAAGGGCACCTGCTGTCTCAGCACCTGCCTCGATGCCTGGCATGTAGCAGACCCTCAATGATCGCTGTGGAGTCAGTGAACTCAGATGCACAGAAGCAGCTTGAGCCTTCAAATCTGAGAGCCCCCACCCCCGGACAGGGTGTCTTTGGGGGCTGGAGAGGACAGACACCTCCCTGAACCCATCTGTTCCCACTGCAGGCACCACCACAGGCAGCTGCTCACGTCACCACCCCCGATGGGAGCCCCGGACACCAGCAGCAAAGCCCTCTCCTCAGCCTCGGCAGGTGGGTGCTGGGCACTCACAGGGCAGGGGCGGGGTGCAGCCTTCTGGACACAAAGAACTGGAGGCCCGGTGGGCGGGCTGGGGTGACCTCTGAGGTCAAGAGGTCAGGCTGGGCAGTGGGCCATCTCCTGCTGTAAGCTATGGTGAGCGCCTGGGATTTGCCACCCCAAAGGTAGTTAGCTGCCCTGTGACTTGGGCTTGTGACATGGATTAGTCAGGACCACACAGGAACATGCTGGCACTGGCCACGGGGGTGTTGGGAAAGCCTCACCCTCTGCTAGCAGCTGCCAGAGTGCTGCTCTGCTGCAGGGGTTGAGCGGTTCACTCTGAGGGGAGAGGTGTTCTTAGGCCATGCAGTCTCCTGTCTCTTAGTTGTTTCTTAGTTGTAACCCTTGGTGTCTGCCCTACTGCCCCCTCGTGGTGTTAGAGGGAGTTTCAGAGCAGGAGCAGCAAGGAGTCCAGGCAAGCTCACATGCCTCTCGAATGAGTGAGAGTGGCACCAGCAGAGGGCAGCGTGCCAGGGGAGGTGGGTGGGCGATGGCGGGCCTGTGGCACCAGCAGAGGGCAGCGTGCCAGGGGAGGTGGGTGGGCGATGGCGGGCCTGCGGTACCATCAGCAGAGCTGTCTGCTCTGGGGCCCTGGCTGTGGCGAGTGGGACACGCGTCCAGGTCAGAAGGCTCAGCAGTCCCAGAAGGGTTTCTTCATGCAGGACTTCTCAGAGCGACTGCTGGGTCCCTGTGCACCGTGCAGCCAGGAACGGCTTGCAGCCACTTGCAGTCAGGGAACTCTTCAATGCCACTTGGCACTTCCCAGGACTCCTCTAAGAAAATGACTAGGAAATACTCTTCTTTTTAAAGAAAACTGTTTATTTGAAAGAGTTTACAGAAAGACTAAGCATGCACTGATTCATTGTCGGCATTTTCTTTATCTTTTAGAGATTTGTTTATTTTTATTGGAAAGGCAGATCAGATTTATGGAGAGAAAGGGAGACAAAGATTTTCATGTACTGGTTCACTCCCCATTGGCCGCAACAGCTGGAGCTGAGCCTATCCAAAGCCAGGAGCCAGGAGCCTCCCCTGGGTCTCCCACGTAGGTGCAGGGTCCCAAGGCTTTGGGTCGTCCTCGACTGCTCTCCCAGGCTGGAAGGGAAGAGAAGCAGCCGGGACACAACCCGGTGCCCATATGGGAGCTTGGAAGTGAAGGATTAGCCAGTTAAGCCACAGTGCCGGTCCCTTGGAGCGTTTTCCTAGAACAAGTTCCAGAGGTTTGTCTGCATTGATCAGTGGTTCTAGAATGTGTCTTAAATGCGAACAGAAATCAAAAGGGCACAGCTGATTTCTTCAGAGACTTGCTGGCGGCCCAAAGAGCATTTACAGTCATTTCTTTCATGTGTTCACTTGACCAAGTTGCAGAAAGAGCGTCCATTTGCTGGGTCACTCCCCAGATGGCTGCAGTGAGAATAGGCCAGACAAACCCAGCGCTTCACCCAGGTCCCCCTCGCGACTTCAAGCATCCAAGCACTTGGGTCGCATTCCATGTCTTCCCCAGGTGTGTTAGAAGGGAGCTGGATGGGACGTGGAGCAGCCAGGACTTGAACCAGTGCTCACAGGGAAGCTGATCCACAGTGCCACAATGCCCCCCTAAAGTAAACATGAGGAGGTTTAATTGTCAAGAGCCAAGTGTTAGGACCTAGAGCACTAGGGCCGGGATGAATCTCAGATAGGCAATGGCCAGGGGGGTCTTAGGGCTTCTAGAACTTTCCCTTCTGTCAGGATGTGGGACTCCAGGGACAACACAGGCAACCCTGGAAATGCTCCGCCGAGGCACCGAGGGTCCCCCCTCTGTTGGGACACTGAGTAAAAATAGTTTCTGTATTCCTGGACACACTGCCGTAGTGCGACCTTAAACCCCACAGCCTGTGTGTGCCCTGCAGTCCGCCACGCTTTTCCTCTTGGGGGCTGGAGCGGCAGTGAGACCCGATGCCGCCTGAGGACAGCTTCTGGTGACACTGCCCCTTCCAGCGCCGCCCCTTGTAACCTTGCCGGTCGGCCCTTGTTTCCGCAGCTGCGCCTGAGCTGAAGCTCCTGTGTGGGGCCGACTTCCTGAAGAGCTTTGGGGTCCCAGGCCTGTGGGAGGAGGCGCACGTGCAGGAGATCGTGAGCAAGTTTGGCGTGGTGTGCGTGGGCCGCGTGGGGCACGACGCCGAGGCGTACATCGCCGACCTGCCCATCCTGCGCAGGCACCGCCACAACATCCACGTGGCCCACGCACCCGTGCAAAACGCTCTGAGCGCCACCTACGTCCGCCAGGCCTTGGCACAGGGGCACAGCGTCAGGTACCTGCTCCCCGACGCCGTCCTCGCCTACATCCAGATGCACCGGCTGTACCTCGGGAGCGCAAGTGCCCGCGGGAACCGCAGCGGGACGCACTAGGGCCACAGCCGTGGGAGGGCTCTTCAGCTTTGTGGTCCACGTTCCTCATTTCCCCAGGGACTGGCCTTGGGGGGTTCCAGGAACAGATGCCTTGGGAAGGAGGGAAGGCTGCCTCTCAGGCACAAGGGTTTCCTGAAGAGGTGAGAGCCAGGAGCAGGCAGGCAGGCAGGCAGGCAGGCTCTGGAGACACCATCTCAGAGGCACCGCTCCGCGTGCGAGGGCTGGCCACGTCCCTTCAGAATTGCCCACAATGCATTTGTTAACCGGGGCCAGGTGCAGCGTAAGCTGGCCTGGGTGGGAGAGGCTTAGCAAGATGTTGGTTGTGCCCTTGTGCCCAACTCCGGTTACCAATAGAAGAGTCGAGACTGGACACAGCCCTGGGTGACTGCTGCCTTGCCTTCCAGCCCGGCCTGCTTTTCATGAAAGGTAGCTCAACTCTTTGCTAAGCAGTGGTCCTCAGGCACCGTTTTTGATCTGGCAAAGTATTTTTAATGCCGCAGCACATTCCAGCACTCCTAATTTCCAGGTTTCTAAAGGGGAACTGAGGCAAAACAGATGCTGGCCAGGGTTGAGAGGCTCTCGCTGAATGTTTCATGACTACCTTGGCTGTTTGAATGTGGGCAAAGCCACAAATAATAAATTAACATCAAAAAAGTATTAATGAAAAGTTTCTCTCTTTTTTTCCTTTGTTAAATTATTCATGCCCTGATGTACCAGCTGTTGCCCCGTTTCAGCTGTTCTGAGAAATCGGCCACTCTTGTCACAATCAAACCACACTGATTTGAAAGTTTGCGTCTAGGCCAGCATGGTGGCATAGGAAACTAATCCTCTGGCATCCCATGTGGGTACTGATTCGTGTCCCGGCCGCTCCACCTCCCATCCAGCTCCCTGCTTGTGGCCTGGGGAAGCAGTGGAGGGTGACTCTAGTTCTGGGGCCACTGCACCCACGTGGAAGACCCAGCAGAAGCTCCTGTCTTCCAGCTTTAGACCAGCCCAGCTCTGGCTGTTGCGACCTTCTGGGGAGCTAACCAGTGAATGGAAGAACTCTGTCTCTCCTTCTTTCTCTGTAATGCTAACTTTTAAGTAAACAGGCTTTGGAGCAGAGGAAGTGACTGCTCTTCAGCTGCACACATGCTCTTTCCTCCTCAAAGGCACTGGGTCCGTGGCTCTGCTCAGAGCACCTTGTGCGATGGGACAGGGCTCCCCAGGGGAACAAAGGTTCGCCTTCCCATGCCTACATAAGGAAGGGGTCAGGATTTGATGCTGTTTGCATTTGTTCTTTAAGCCTGCTGACCGGATAACCACTTACAATCAGAAGTGGCTTCTCCGGTTTGCTCTGCCTGGTCCTGGCGACAGGTTCAGCCAGGCACTGAACAAACGGACCATCGGGGAGATGCCGGCACCACGGCATTCCCTGTGTGGCAGGCAGTAGAGGGGGAAGGGCGTCAAGGCATCCCCGACCCTCCCAGGAACCACCAACTGCTGTATCCGCTGGGAGATCAGTATGGGGCGTGACAGCTCAGCGGGATGGAGAGCCAACGCTTTGCCCAAAGCCCCCACTGCACGCTGTGGGACTCAGTCCAGCCCCTTTCCCTGCCGCGCAGCTCTGTTTGCCTGCTTCTACAGTGGAAGGCTTGGTTATCCCTTCTCCAAATTCTCCCCCAGCTGCAAGCCTCTGCATCTAGCCTGCCAGGGAGTTATGTTGATTTTGCAAGAACAGAAAAACAGTGGTTTGGGCTCCTGGGCAAATAGGATTTCCAGCCTTAAATAAAGGTTCTCCTATGTTAACGCACGCTTCCCAAATGACGGGAGCTGTGCATCGTAACGTAGCCCGAGGACAGAATTTTTCATCGTTGATACAGTCTGTGTCACCTGGGACAGAAGGATCTGAATCCCGTTCTTAGCTGCTAGGGCTCAATGGGCCAGTTGTGCTTGGTAAATGGGTCGATTACAGGAATGCAAATCTTCTTTCCCAGGCCTGCCCCTCCTGTGCCACCACGTCCCTGCCCTCCCTTCTTGCAGGGATTCAGGGCACCCATGTGTTCAGTTGCAGTGTTACTTTCTTGGGCCAGAGCTCAGCATGAAAGCACCACATGTCCCCGACTAATAAGCCGCCTATCACAGTGCACCCTGGCCCACGACTCGGTGTTTAGGACAGTTGGAATACCCTCAGGGTGGCACCTGGCACTGCAGGCCGCAAGGCCTGGAGAAGGACCCTGGAATTCATTTACTTAGCACATTTCCAAGCTATCTCAAGCTGGGATGCCACAATGAAGTTCCACTAGGAAAACAATGTGTGCTCTGCTGAAGTGGGGGCACCTGGCCCTTCTTTCTGCGAGTCCTGCACATGCCACCTCCATCAGGGTCTTCCGCACAGGTACAGAACTTCTGCATCTTTCCCAGGCGCATTAGCAGGGAGCTAGATCAAAGGTGGAGCAGCTGGAACTCAAACTGGAACTCTTAAGATGCCAGCACCATAGCCACAACACCAGAGGAGGTAAGAGGGCTAAAATGCAAGCCCCTTCCTGGGATCCCGCTTAGCCTTGCTTCTCCGGTCCTCCCAGAGGCACGCCCGCGGAGCCCCGCTGGGAAAACGCGCCTGCCTTCACCTACGCTGTGATCTGTGCATGGAACAAAAGAGATATTTAGTCTTTGACGGGGGGGGGGGTGTCAAAAAGTCAACTCGTGTGATTATGTCACCCCCCTCGCACGGTGCCAAAGACAGCCGTTTAAAGGCACTGGGACAACACGCCCAAGGTGGCAAATGGGCCGCCTGAGAAGCCCGTTGCCGCGGCGACGCTTCCAACCGCGGAGGAGCGCCAAGAGCCTGGGCGCACGGGGCCAGACGGCACCAAGCGGGAGAAAGGCTCGCGCGGCCCTAAGCTGCCTGGGGGAGAGGCAAAGGAGAAAGTTCAGCCCTCGGCGGGTGCTCGCCGGCACCTGCTGCGGTCCGGGGGCCCAACTTCAGAGCGCTCCGGAATCCCCCTAGGGCGTCACACCAAGCCTCACCAGCTATGTGGAGGCGCGGAGCGCGCCCAGGCCTGCGCCGACCTCTCCTCGGCCTCCGGGGTTAGGTCCCAGCCCTCCGGGGAGCAGCCAGAGGCATCGGAAGGGGTCCCTGGGGAGCAGTCCAGGCCGCGACAGCAGCCCCTCGCCTTCTGAGCTAGCCAGAGGAGAGAGCAGAGGTTGGACACCGGTGGGGACGACTGGGGCCCAGGGCGTCCCCGCCCCGCCAAGGGGAGGAGCCACGACTACAATGGATCCTCCCGCCGGCTTTGTGCGCACTGGGAAGCCCGCTGTCGCCGCCCACCGAGCCCCCGGCGCCCCCGAGGGCGCACATTTCCGGGCCGCCCACCACCTGGATCGCCCCCGCCGAGCCTCCTCGAGTGTTGTCCGTCTGCTCCGCGACCCAGCCACCCCGATCACCGTCCGAAATGCCTGTGGACTTCTCCGGATACTGGAAGATGCTGGCCAACCACAATTTCGAGGAGTACCTGCGCGCCCTCGGTAAGCGCCCCCCAAGCTGCCAGGAGCCAGCCAGCGGCCCGCGGGGCCAGGGTGGTCAGGGTGGTCTTGCTGGTTGGCTCTGGACTAATTTAATGAGTAGAGCTGGGCTTCATGCGCTAGTTTCTGTTTCTGAAGGATTAACCCAAGGGCAGAAAACTTTGTTGGCAGAATCCCGAGGCACACACGGCTGCTGCCCGCAGGGACAGCCCGGTGCAGCGGCAGGGCACCCTCCTGGCATCGCGTGGCACGGACTGCTGGGGGTGTTCCGAATCTTCCTGCCAACTTCCTTGCCCCTCTCGGCCGCGCTGCCCCCCCTGCAGATGTCAACGTGGCCTTGCGCAAGATCGCCTGCTTGCTGAAGCCGGACAAAGAGATTGTTCAGGAGGGGGACCACATGATCATCCGCACGCTGAGCACTTTCAGGAACTACATCATGGACTTCCAGGTCGGCCAGGAGTTCGAGGAGGACCTCACCGGCATCGACGACCGCAAGTGCATGGTGAGGACTCCCGTGCCTGGATGGGGTGGCTGCTGCCCCGTGGGGCACGGCTAAGGGAGGAGAGCCAGGGGACACCCCACGGCTTCCCAGAGCAGCCACGCTGGGCCTCCCCTGTGCGTGGGCGCATGGCCGGGTGCTTTGTTCGCATGACTACCCTGGAAACCCCTGGCAGCCTTGCACAGACAGGAATCTGCCCATTCTGCAGATGAACAGATTCCAAGGAAACCTGCCCAGGGAGGGAGGGACAGAATTCCAAGGCCAGTGTGTCACCCCTGAGAACGAGCCCAGAGGAGGAGAGAATGAGCCCAGAGCAGGGAAGGAGGACTCAAGCACAGAGGCCCTGGGAGGTGAAGCAGCCTCAAGTGGCTGCAGGAAACAGGGTGCCTTGATCCTGCCTTACCGGCCCTCTGACCTGCCCGTTCTTGCCCCAGAGCTGGAATTTGGCTCCTGGCCATCTCGTACACACACTCTTACATACTCACACACACTCATTCACACACCAGCCACTGCCCACTGAGCTTGTTTTTTGCTTGCAGCTGACCTACTAAGAGGTCATTGTCCCTACAGCCCAGGTCACCGGAAGCAGCTGGAGGAGAGGGGAGAGGGGCTCCCCTCCATCCCAACAATGGGAAGTTGCTGACCTGGAGACCCCAGTTAGCGCTGGCAGATCCCCAGGAGGTCAGCTTCAGGCCACTGGGAAGTCAAGGTCCCCTAATCTTGACCCTGGAACTGGCTAATGCTCACTCCCAGGCCTTGCTTATGGAGCAGCCATGCCCACCCCTCCCCTTGCCCAAGGACCCTGACCCTGTACAGCACCAGTCATGCTTATTGTCCCCCCACAGTCCAGCAGGACCACTAGTCAGCCAGAATCAGCAGTGGCCAGGGGAGAGAGGCTAGGGGCCCTGTGAGAGGGACACTGGAGCCCTGAGCTCCCAGCCCTGCCCCGGGCCAGTCGGCTTGACAGCCCCATGGGCCTGGGCTTGCCAGAAGGAAGGACCTCAGGCTTGATGATGGAAGCCCCAGTGGGGCTGAGCCTGCAGTTGCTGGGGTCGAAGGAGGAGCCACTGTGGCAGGGAATCCCTTGCCATGCCTTTGCAAGTTTCAAGGCCCCCAAATCTGCTGGGGAGAGAGGCCTCCCAAACACCCCGAACCTGGGCCCTGGCCCACTGGACTCACCTTTGCCCCAGAAGAGCTGTGCTTGTCTCCCAGGACATAGCTTCTCTCTGGGGTGCACCCGACTCGGGGTGCCCTGTACTCCCCTGAGCTGCTGCTGGAACCCTTAGCAATACAAGTGCATGCTCACTGAGCGCTTCTCATCACCATACACAGCACGCTGGCAGCACAGTGGGCTGAGGAGGGGATCCAGGGCAGAAAAACCCCCAGCCCAGTGGGACTTCCAGGATATAGCTAAGAATGGGGGCTCCTATGGGGAACCCCCAGATGGGACCACATGGACTAAGGACCTGGAAAGGCCTGGCTGGAGAGAGAGAGGTGCAGCAAGGTGTGGCTGGGTCTCCTGGGGGCCTCCCAGGCCTTGCTGAGAAGGCGTGGCCAGGCTGCAGGGGGTGCTCCCTGGGCCGGAGGCCGGCAGGCTGTGGTCTGCCCCTTCCCACGGACACCTTACCTGTGTCCTGGAATGGCTGCAGAGGGC